GTGTTACTGGAAATATCAAGCAGTGTTTCCACGGCGACCGGTCCTCATCAAAGCCAGCGCTTGAGAGATGGATTCATGTTTTAGTGCCGATGCGCTTCATAAAGCATGTTCAAGACACCCACAGATGAATGTCAAGAGCGTCGTTGAGAGGATACGGTGTCTGTCTGTCCATATTTAATAAACCGAGGGGTGGAGCAGCGATTATATGTAAACTACAACAGCTTATTCAAATTCATCAGGAAACAAATGCACAGACGGAGTCAGAGAGACACGCTTGACTTTTCTACAAATACACACATTATCTGGTGAAATCTAAAATATTTTATAATGTCTTCTAATATAATTATATATATATATTGCTATTTTTCAGCATTTTTTGATTAATAAAGTTTGAAAAAGAACAGCATTTATTCAAAATAGAATATAGAAATATTTTACAATGCAAGTCTTTATCATCACTTGTATCATATCGTTGCTGAATAAAAGTATTAATTTATTTAAAAAAAATATATAATAATAATAAAAACATACTGACCCCAAACTTTTGAACACTTGTGTATATTGTTACAAAAGATAAAACTACCTCACTCGCTATCAATAAGCAACAGATTAGGAGTTTATTGAGGGAAAACTCTTAGTTGTTAATATGTATCCCCTTGTTACCAAGTAAATCATATATTTTAAAATAATACACTTAAGTGCAAATTGAATGTAATGTTTTCAGACTGATGCATTTTATTTACAGTTAAATGAAAATGTATTATAATAAGTGTAATAGGTATTTTTTTTTACCTATTCAAGTAGGACTTCAGTGCATCTTTAAATGTAACTTCATAATTACTTCTATCGTCTTTGAAATATGGTTAAAGTTACTGCTGAATGCATTGACAAGCATTTATGATAAACTAAAGTATACTCTAATATCATTTCTATTCACGGTTTAAAAAATGATTGCTGCGATTAGATATCACAACATTAGAATAAGTAAAAATGTGTTGTTTCAACTTAAAAGTAAGTGTTCGTGTTTGACTTAAAATTATAAGTTCAATTTACTTTAGTTTACTTAAGTTGGATATTTAAGTTATCACAAATTTTAAGTTGTTATAACAGCACTTTTACTTAAGTTCACTTGCTGTCTTAATTTTATTTTTATTTTTTAAGTATAATCAGATTGGCTGTACAAGCAATTTCAACTTAAATTATATTAAACTGACTTAAAAAAAATTTCGAGTTGAATATTGTATAATCTAAATTAACCCGTTTAATCCCCAATTTTTCCCAGATATGAACATATCCAAATGATGTGTCATTAGTAACCCTTTGAAATAATCAATAACTATTTTTTTTGGAAAAGTGTGTGAAAACTTGTGTTTTATGGCGACCGGTGGGATAATGCACTGAATTAACGTATTTCTGCAGTCATCAAAATTGTTATATATCTTAGCCCAGCTATTTTAAACTGTTTGATCACATTGTAGGGTTATTATTATGCATTTAAAAAAATAATAATAATAAAACACTGTTAAGAATACTGAGATAAAAGACAAAAAAATACAACTATCAATGTATTTCAAAATTGTTACTTTGTTACTTTATACCATCAAATTGTTATATTAGTGCTACCAGTATTACAACATCAATATTGTAACATTTGAACTTTTAATTTAGTGCAACATTTTAGTGCAGCCTTCACTAACAACTGCACTTGGATTTATGTGTATACCTAAATTCACTGTTATCCCAGCGGTCACTAACATGTTTACTCATTCTATGACCACACTCAACAAAACTGAATAATTGTGAATTCATATATTAGCACTAGACGCCTTAAAGATAATGTGGACCAACATTTTTTGTCATATCTTTATGTTAACATACTTTACTTAGCTTTTGTTTTGGAGCTTTGATGCAGCATCATCTTCTCGAGGTGCAAACAGAAATTAAACTGCTCTGCTCATGTGACAATCTGCACATATTTAATTGAGACTCTTTGTTTTGTTTTTTCATATTTGCAGGAAATGCACTAAAACATCAGTCAGTAAGGTTTTTAGAGCTTTATAAATGAAAACCTTGAAATTGGTTAATTCAATTTGATGAATTATGGTAATGGAAAAGCATGTTGACTTACAGTTTACGGTATGTTAGTATGTTCAACACATCACATACGTGTACTTTTTAGATTCTTTAAAATGTACTTTAAAGTAAAACATTCTTCAAGACATTCACTGTTTAAAAGTCTACTTAAGCGTCATGAAAGCGTCTCTGTTTAAGTCACTTAAGTAACTGGCAGTGTCTCAGATGTAACTGCGTATCAACTTCTTGTTTCGTGAATCTAAACGGGTCCGGTTGTGTTCTGTACTTCTGCTGCTGAATGTGGAAACTAACAGATTTCTTTCTCAGTGTTTATTAGAAAATATGCATGTATCACTAAAGGTCAGAGAGACGTGTCGCCGTGATTCTCCATTCTTATTTCCCGCGGGACGTCCAGAGTCAGCACATGCAATGACTTCTGCTCTGTGCTCACGTCTGATTCTCACTGGGTTTGACCAGATCACAAATCCTCTGCTATAACTCCATTAATGCGGCTCGTTCCATCAGGCAGTGTCATCTGAGAGGCTCTGACCCGAATCACTGGATCAGGTTTGCACTCTACGGCCCCTTGTTACCCACAATGCATCTCTGGTTTCAGGGGAAATGGGCTGATATCCGGGATCAACAGCGAGGTGAAGGAACCACAGATAAACCGCAGAAATGCTGCTAAGTGCTCAGAAACGGCCTGTTGGATGTAGTGTGTGTGTGTGTGTGTGTGTGGGTGTGTGTGTGTGTGGGCGCGGGTGTGGGTGTGTCGTGTGAGAGTGTGTGAGTGTGAGTGTGTGTGTGCGTGTGAGAGTGTGTGAGTGTGAGTGTGAGATCGGATGAGGAATGAGACGCAGCCGACCGCAGATATTGAACGAGAATGACAACAATCAGTCATGAAATCCGCTGCGTGTCTAAAAGCTCTGCTAAGATGTATAAATATCTCAGTCTCAGGTCTGTAGCTAGTTCTTCTCTTTCCCCTCCTCATCAGTGAACATTAACACATTAACAGTAATAAATGAGCAAATCTATTACAAGAGCCTCTGCATATAGATAGCCTACTTACGAGAGCGGCCGCTCATTAGCATAACCTGCAAGGGACTCTGGGTAATTACCAAGCCAATAACAGGGCCGCTTTAATGTGGTCACTGGTCAATGACACGTCTGTAGAGCCAAAGACGACGACGACCGCGATCTAGCTATCTGTGCACCCTTGTGAAACAGAAGTGTGCTTGAATATATTCTATTGAGTTTTATGTTTTTAAGATAATATAAAATGACTGAAATCAAAGGCCACTTAAGTGACTTAAAGAGAAACACTTTCATGACTTTCTTAACACACTTAAGTAGACTTTTTAAGTAGAAATAGTGCACTTTGTAATAGATGTCAAGATGTCAAAATAAATACTTTAAAGTACATTTAAAAAAAAAAACTAAAAAAACTTTTGCTGACAAATGGGTAAAACCTAGTGGTTTGAAGGATAGTAAGATTGGTAAAGATTTAAAAATGACAATGATTAATATTTTTGGGCCTGAACAGTGATCTTTAAATAGTCTTATATATATATATATATCTCCCCTTATCTCCTGGCAGACACAGTCAGTCTGATATGAAGCGCAGGAAAGCCTGTCCAGAGATGATGTTTATATCGGAGACAGAAATTCAATTTCCCAATATTCAATATGAATATGTGTGCTGGAGCTCCTGCTATCACACAGACACAGACTGACCATCATCACAGGATCACAGCTGCTCAAGGAATGAATGAATGACGGCTCATTATCAGACAGACTCATGACCTCAGGTACAAACCAGCACAACTGATCACAGATCATTTCTCACTAAATCCTCTCGTCAATAAACAGTTACCCAAAGACTTCCATTTATTTACTGTGAAACGTAGAAGCTTAGAATCATCTACTGCGAGGTCAGCGATGGAAACTAGACCACAACAAATGCACATATAATTGGAGTTATTTCAACAATTGGCTATTAACCTCCTGGAGACTCAGAAACATGATTGAATCCAGTCCATGCTTCATCATACCAAAAAACGTGCTCTCATTTCTGGCCCTTAAGAGCCGAGCGTTTGCGTCCTGAGAGCATCTGAAAGCATTTCCAAAAGCACAATGACTGGAGAGAGAAATACAGTCAGCCTGATTCAACTGCTATAAAGCTCTCAGATAAGAGAGGAATTTAGACTCGGAGATTGATCAAAGATGTCTTAAAAGCGTCGCATTGAACGGCAGGAACATCAATAAATAAAATGCATGGCTTTACAGTTCTGTGAGCACGCAAAAATACAAAAATAAGGGAATATCATGCATGCAGCTAAAGCCTCAATGGCATTTTCATGAGCTGATGGCGCCACCTGGTGGACAGACACACGACTAATGTATATTAGTAGCACAAAAACCAATTTAAAAACGAATTTAATCCCACCAGTGTGGTTTTGAGCTGAAACAGGCAACAATAAATCAAGTTGCATTTCAGTGAATCAAGTCAAATGTCAGAATACAGACAGAAGGACCGTGTCTGGCACATTTACTGCGTAAAAGAGTTTGTTCGGGCTCAAAGCAAGCCTCCATTTACATGAAAAAGGCAAATATAAAATAATGAAACAAAATATAAAAAATCCAATTTAAAATATTAACATAACCTATAATGTAATATAATGTAACGTTTCAAGTACTGATACATAAAATCGATCCAAGTATAAAGGAATATGCATTTCTTTTTGGTTTAGCATTTCCCTTTCCTCAAAATCATAAAATAAAATCATACCTACTTTTTTTGAAATTCTATTATGTCTCATGGAGTGATGAAAATATTCTCATTGCTCACAATTATGACCAAAAAAAAAAACAACATTAAGAAAAGCCATGAGTAAAACTTGATTAAACACTTAAACAGATTGCACTGATGTATTTCTTAAAATCCTTTATTCATAAACTTGATGCAAGTTTACAAATTGTACTGTACATGGTCGAGATTACACTTACAATGGAAAAAAATAAAATGCAATTAAACTGAAGCATGCTAACAGTGCATGACGCATTGAAGCCATCGAACACACTCCTCCGTCTGAACGAACGAACGACGCATCACACACTTCCCCGTTCCAAACACTCAGAAGCAGAGGAACAGCTATGGACTCCATCTATGGCTTGATGTCAGAGTGGCGTTATTTAGTTCTGTACTTTACCTAAACGAAACAGTGAAGCGGCTCACATTGGCCAGTGTGAATGTCAGAAAACAGCCGAACCGTCCCAGTGCTTTCGACAGGAATCTAGAGGAAAACTGAGTCAGTGCATCTGACAGAGGAACACGGACATGCTTCTGAATGATATTAACACTAAAGCAGGACTGTTTTCTTGTGGTCACAGCCATCAGATCGACCTCTAATGATGTGTTTCGAACGGAAATACTGGAGACGACCGCGAGAAACACTAACTTCCTTTTTCTTCCTTTTTAAGGCATTATCAGTCACTCCCAGCTTCCCAAGAGACTGCAGGGGCTTCAAATAACACGGTAAATACACTTCTACAAACCCAGACAGTTCTGTTGGCCATGTTGGTAGGGAGAAGTCGTTTACAGGACTGATAGAAATGCTTTGCAATGGCATGAACACACTCAAACCCTTTCTCATGATGCAAACAGACTCGCGTTACGTCACGTAATCAGACGGAGGGAAGCTCCTGCTGTTCTTTCAAAGGTTCATTCATCCAAATGCATCTGTATACTTGATTGTGGAGTTCATTTGCAACACAATGAAGTCTGGGTTGCCATGGTAACAACTTTGTTTTTTTTTTTCAATATGCAACCAAAACAAACATAAACAATGGAGGAGCGCTGCAGAAATCGTGCTGTGTGTGGGCTCTTTCAGAGATATTGGCGTCAGATTGCATCGCTCTGCTGGAATCGTGGCATTGTTTGAGATGATGAAGGAACGTCAGGTGGTCAAACTTGAGTCAAATCAAGCCTTTTTACCCCGCGGGGAAAGAGAAGTGTCAGAAAGAGTGGCTCTGATTAAAACGAGGGGTGAGAGGAGAAAGATGTCCGTCTGAAGATGCTCGGTCCATGTGTGGATGCTGTGCTCTAGCCGTCCTCTTTGGGTGGTGTGTACCAGCCTGTGAAAACCACACACACACATTTATACAGCAAACACTCGCTCTGGAAACTTCATCCACAGAGAGACTGACAAAACCAATCGACTTCAAAGCAGAGTCACTGACAGCACGAGCTAAATCTGGCATGAGCTCAGATCCCCAAATAAACTACTCTTTCCTGAAGAGCCCATGACAGCAGACCTCAAGCTCAGTGCCTTCAGATCTGACAAAACACACACACACACACACTCCGAAAACACACAGGATTTCGCTTCGTAACCCTCATAATGCACTCGAAATCTCGACACTACTTTCACATTCCCAATCTGTTTGAACCTGTAGAACCATTATTTTATAAAACGGTCACAACTTTAGATTTTTCAGCTAAAACCGTATTGTATTTAATCAGCAACTTCTCATTAATGAGTGAAAATACTAAATTTTTTTGAACGTTAGCATGTTATTACCATATTATTACAGCATTTAGAAATTCTTTGAAATTTCTAATTACATATGAACCACAGACAAACAGACAATAGACAGACAGACAGATAGATATACAGTAGACAGACAGACAGACAGACAGATAGATAGATAGATAGATAGATAGATAGATATACAGTAGACAGACAGACAGACAGACAGATAGATAGATAGATAGATAGATAGATAGATATACAGTAGACAGACAGACAGACAGATACAGTAGACAGACAGACAGACAGA